GTGATGTGGTTGGTAGTTTGGGTCAGTGACAAGGAGTTATGGCTAGATTGGTGTTGTGTTGTGGTTGTTTGGCATGTTGATGCTACCATAGGTACTGGTGGGCCGTGGTAGGTTACTGTAGGTGGCCACAATAGGGAAACAAGAAAACGTTAATACTGTATTTAGTTGGGAGATTTGAATAAAGATTTGAAAATAGAAATGAAAAATGTAGGTAAAATGTGAATAAAACATACTTATATTTCACATAATTTCACACACATTTTCCCTTTCCCTTTCCAAATCTCTCTCCAAATCCTCCAACCAAACACAGCGTAAAAGAAAATGGATAAATGAAGAAAGAAAAGAAAGAAGGGGGAAAATAATTTGCCTTCTTAAGGTTAAAATGGAAATTTCAAAAAAAAAATAAAAAATTAAAATAGATTGTTGATATAATACAAACCACTAGATTAAGTAACAAGCAAAATTATTTGTCATGATATTAGAAATTTATAATAAAATTTTCAACCTTCCAAAAGTTGGGTCTTTTTCATGTTCATTGTATGATCTTAGAATTATTTTTTTGACATTTGAAGTAGAGATGTGTGTATTTAATAAAATTAAAAGGGGATATATATATAGGGTAATATTATACAAATAATATTTTTGTACAATAAATTCATACAAAATAATATGATTTTCTTTGAACTTTTTATTTCGAATCAAAACATTTATGATTGTAATTTAAAATTATAAAAATATCATTCACAAATCACTTTATATAGTATTTATAGTTTTAAATAACACTTTCCTTTTTGATTTTAGGTGGCTAAGATATAGATTTACGACATAGTTTCCCACAACACAATGATATATTTCTAAGTCTCTTCTATTTTCTTTGTAAATTTATCCTTTTATCTTTTTTAAACTCTTTAGCCTTGTTATAAACTTCATTGAATATGAAATTATAACTTTGTGGTAGAAAACTATTTTCTCTTTGAAGAATTTTAAGCTTTATATTTAGCAAATTTCACTATTTTGCACATTTTTTTCGTCTTCCTTTCTAATTTATACATACCTTAAAAAAAGAAAATAGTCATGATCATGAGTATTTTTCTTATTTATTTATTTACAATTGTTTTGGAGACGTGCTTGGAGAGTACATTTGCCTACTGCATAATACTATTATATTCAATTATAAAAGATAATGAGTTAGTTGTTTTTAGCGCAAATTACAAATACAATTCTTGAGATTTATTAAAAATAGTGATTTTCTCTTATAGTTTTAAAAATTATAATTATCTCCTTGTTCAAATTTGCCCATTAATGAGGGGTAATTCTATATACATAACAAAAATTTCTGGTTACACTGAATTTCTTACCATACAATATAAAAATAAAAATAAAAAAAATTCAATTCTCTCTTTACAATTACCATAATACCCATTGCAATCCTCCTCTGTACACCCACAACTAAACAAACCATAACTCTTCCCCCACCTCCCACCACCACCTCCGGCAGCCACGACCACCATCTTCGATCCAACATCTAGACTCAACACCACCGACGATCTCCCTCACAACCGCTACAACCAACATCTCCAACTCCAACTTCCAAACTCACTCCCACCAGCAAACTCTCTTACAGCCGCCACCCCTTCCTTAGGCCATCCCTTGTTGCCAATCCTTATTCTCTCATCGCTTTCCCTCCCATCTTCTTTCTATATCGCCTCTCGTCATCGCCACATCGCAACCCAGCTATCTGTTGAGCTTCAAAATCCTAGCCCCCATCACAAACCAAACCCACCTCCTTCCATTGCTGCAAAAGTGAGTAAGAGAGAAAGAGAGAGAAAACCCTAGGGTGTGGTTGCAATGGTGGTGATTGTAGGGACGGTGGGGCAACAAAGGAGTGTGGTTGCAGCGGTGAGACTGTGAAAGTGGTGGTTGTGATAGTGGTGATGGTTTTGACAATATGGCAACGGAGAAATGATGTTGTAGCGGCAAAGGGCTACGCGATGTTGATGGGAGAGGTACCGAAAGTAGCTGAGATTAGGAGTGTTCGCGGATCGGTTTTATGCGGTTTACGGTTCGATTTTGACCCGCCCGCACCTATGCGGTTTGGGGAAAAGTCTAACCGCAACTGCCCGTAGTGTGGTTTTCGGTTTGTGCAGATAGGGTTTGCGGACGTGCGGGTGGTTTACGGTTTAGATTTTTTTCTTTAAAAACTAACTTTTGAGTTTTTTTTCCCATTTTAAAAATATTTATTTCGAGTCATTTTCTTTCAATTTTCTAAAATGTTTCAACATTAATAATTAATGAATTAAAACTTATAAAATTAAAAACAACAAAATCCCATTTTTGAACCTTATTTATTCCATTTTTTTCAATTTTCTATGCAATCAAACTGAGTGTACTATCACAATAGTGGAAACATCCAATTATCAATTGGTGAACATAGCAAGAGAAAGGAACAAGCTTACATTGAGACAATGGGAGAGTAATCTGAACAATGTGAAATAGATAAGATAGAATAGATAGATCTAGATAATGAACGAACAGTCCATGTTTTTTTTTCAATATATATATATATATATATTTGGCTAAGTGCGAGTGGGTTGTGACGGGTGCAGTTCAAAACCGCAACCCGCCCGCAACCCGAAAATCTTATATATTTCAAAGCGCACCCTACCCTATTCAATTTGCGAAACCGCCCATACATGTGCAGTTCGGTTCGGGTAGGGCGGGTTGTGCGGGTCAGAAAACCCTATGCCCAACCCAAGCTGAGATGGTGGAAATGTAGGGATAAGAAATTAGAGTTAGGATTTTGAGGTGGGTTTTGGTAATTTTACAATGGGTTAAAAGTGTAAAAATTTTGTTTTGAAAATATAGGGTGTAATGAGCTATTTGTGTTGTATAAATAGAATTACCCTTAATCGAGTTAACAAAATTAATTAAATTATCCTATTACCCTTATATCATAATACAAATTTACTTTATTACCCTTCTCTCCTTTTGCACCCGAACGAATGCCAACATGTCTGGTCTCCTCCTCCTCCGCCCTTCCAATCAAGACCTAACATACATATAGGCAAATGCCATATATAAAAACACAAGTTACATACACACATAGTTACACAGTATTAGAAAACCTTTTTATCTCTCATACAATCCATTGCCAGCGCAAACAGGGTATCACTATAGACCTCCACCTCACAAACAAGAAGATATGGCATTTCGATCTCCTCTTACTTTTCTTCACATACTGTGAAGAGATCCAAGGACTAGTGCAGCAAATAGGAAGCATCGATGTCTTCAGCACTAACTGGAGAAACCTATTTCATGACAAAATCCGTGGCCTCACTTCTCGAATAGTGGTTGTGCTTTACCAACGCTTTTTATCGATGCCATTGAGGGTCTGAATTGGTGATATGTTGCAGTGGTCGGGGGGTTGCATTGAGTGATGAATTGTGTTTGATTTGAGGGATTTGGAACATTGAGTGTCTGTTTGGGCAGTGAAGGTACATAGTGTAGGTAGGCAAATGAGGTAGATACATATCAATGTGCAAACTAGGGTTCGAGGTTGTTCATGGTGGTCATTGGGATTATGGAACAGAGGTGGTAGGTATGATGGTGGAGATGGGCAGATTTGCTGGAAGGGTAGTGATGTAGTTGGTGGTTTGGGTGAGTGACAGGGAGTTATGGCTAGATTGGTGTTGTGTTGTGGTTGTTTGGCATGTTGATGCAACCATAGGTACTGGTGGGCCGTGGTGGGTTACTGTAGGTGGCCACAATAGGGAAAAAAGAAAACGTTAATATTGTATTTAGTTGGGAGATTTGAGTAAAGATTTAGAAAGAGAAATGAAAAAAGTAAATGAAATGTGAATAAAACATACTTATATTTCACCTAGTTTCACACACATTTTCTTTTTCCTTTTTCAAATCCCTCTTCAAATCCTCCAACCAAACACAGCATAAAAGAAAATGGATAAATGAAGAAAGAAAAGAAAGAAGGGGGAAAATAAGTTGCCTTCTTAAGGTTAAAATGGAAATTTCAAAAAAAATAAAAAATTAAAATAGATTGTTGATATAATACAAACCACTACATTAAGTAACAGGCAAAATTATTTGTCATGATATTAGAAATTTATAATAAAATTTTCAAAACTATAGAGATTTTTTTAATTAAATCTCGGAAATGTATTTATAATTTATTCATATTTTTATGTAACCAATGCACTTGAAGATTGAAATGAGAGGCCACTCAGATTTTGTTAAGAAACACTCAACAAGTACAAAAGATTTTAAAATATTGCCTTCTTTAATACTATTAACTAACGTTTAGTTTATTAGAATAAAGTGAAATAAAATATCCACTGAATATCCATTCTTTTATTGGATTGATTATAATAATAATAAGAAGAAGAAGAAGAAGAAATACATTGTTAACAAAATCAGCATTCATCATTTTCAGCGAATAGCCACTCTATAAAAAAATAAAAATAAAATAAAATAAAATAATAAAATTTACAAAAAAAACCTACTAAATTTAGTATAATTACATTGGACTCTTGCAAAATTATTTCATATACTTTACGTCTTACCAACTATCATATTGTGAATAATATAAATGAAAAAACTATTCTGCCATCTCTTTTTTACCAAAAATATATTTTATTTTGCAGAGGTCAATTAATAATTTTTTTAGGACCGAAATACAAATTATATCTAATCTACTCCAAATGTACGGTGAAGGAAAACCGCTAAGCGACAAGGCGGGCGAACCCTTAACAGATGACAGGTGGCCCAACCTCATAGTTATGTTTAACTTACGAAATATATTACATTTTTCTCAAAACTCAAGAAAAGTCCATGTAATTTATTATCGATATAAACTATAATGTGTATTTTTGTATTCTAGGTGTAAATGTTAGATCTGTAGGAGGGGAAAAAACACAAACAAACTTACAATTTATTCACTTTTCCCCTCCTATTTTATTTACCTTCCACATAGTATGATGAACTCATTTTGAGAGACGGCTTAGCATTTCAAATATTACCTAAAGCAAAGCAAAATGTGTTGAAAATAAAAACTTCATAGAGTTTCACTTCTAAATTAGATCTTCTGAGCTGCTAATCTAACCACAATGTTTAGTAATGTTATTACAAACCCTTTTCAAAACATTGAAAAAAAACTAGTTCCTATGCTGTGAAATAAAATCTAAGCACAAAAGTTGTACTAAAATACTGGCATTTTGTTATCTCTTTTGGTTCTCTCATCAATCTGGTGTAAGAGATTACATACCCGGAATAAATTATCCTTGCATTGCAGGTCTTGGACCTCAGAATCTGCATTTATTTCCATCTTGCAAAAAGAATTTCAAGTTTTGGAGGGCTTCATATGAACAACCAGAGGCCACAGTAGCCTGCCATGCTGCACGATCTTCGCCTACATGTGATTGCATCAACTCCACAATCCTCGTCTACCAAGCACCTGTGATCATCACGAAGATCAGGGATGTGACAAGCACTCTCAATCCATTCACCGCTCTGCCCAGATTGCAATGACGTTGCTGGACAGACTTGCATGGACATTGCACTCGCTCGTTTTGCTTGCAGTTCACTCTGCAGGAAATAAAAGCCTCGCTTTTAGCAAGTCTAAGTAATCATGCTGCTATCTGCATACAGTACAAAAATGGCACTGTCGTATTTTGAAACACCTGTGCATAATGTGCAAATAAAATTGCCAAACAATGTTGGCAGTTTCCAATTTCTTCCAAATGACATGACTGAAATTGTCAATGCTCTGAACCAATGATCCGTTTGTTTCTGCCGAAAACGTATTGCAACAGAAAATTCTGTAGAAAATTCCTATGTTTGGCCACGTCCTTAAAGCTCCATTTGACTAATATACTAATGATTGTGTTAGTGGTAGTGTATCACTCTGCAGGAAATAAAAGCTTCGCTTTTAGCAAGTCTAAGTAATCATGCTGCTATCTGCATACAGTACAAAAATGGCACTGTCGTATTTTGAAACACCTGTGCATAATGTGCAAATAAAATTGCCAAACAATGTTGGCAGTTTCCAATTTCTTCCAAATGACATGACTGAAATTGTCAATGCTCTGAACCAATGATCCATTTGTTTCTGCCGAAAACGTCTTGCAACAGAAAATTCTGTAGAAAATTCCTATGTTTGGCCGCGTCCATAAAGCTCCATTTGACTAATATACTAATGATTGTATTAGTGGTAGTGTAGTGGAGGTGGCAGCTGCGGTGATAGTGGAGGTGGTGGTGGCAGCAGTGGTGATGGCGGTAGCGGTAGCGGCGGTGGCGTGGTATTGGTAAGATCTTAGTCCAAAAAATATTTTTCACCTTTTAAAAGTAAAAATCATTTTGCCGAAATGGACTTTTCCGTTAACTTTTGTTTTCCATTGTATCAAAAGTCGGAAAATATGGAAAACATTTTCCAGGAAAATTTTCTACCCAAGCAAACAGAGTAAAATGGAAATCCAACAACCCAGGAGTATGCTTTAATAAAAGACCCAAAGTCACATGATCTTTCTCAATACATTCATTTCTTGGATTTAAAGATGTCAGTGTGATTTCAGCTAGTGGGCAAATTGCTAGTATAAGTGTCCATCATATCAAAACAAAATGGACGTCTGATGTTAATATTATCATAATAAATTAATAATGAAGACCTTATCACACTTGTGGGAAAGAACGGAAAGGTCACCTTGACACAAGTCCAGTTGCTTGGGATGTAGGTCTCCGGAAGCCTATCATGCCAAGCACTCATTATTGGAAGAGGATGGCCCTCAGTTGTGAAAATATAATTGCGATCAACCAAAAATGAATCATCAAAGAGAAGATATAGATACTTGCACCTACAAAAATACAGATGATACATCAAATTAACTTGACATGTGGATTAAACATATTGCTTTATAATAATTGGACGAGCAAGCAAAAAAGTCCTAAACCTAAAACTAGAACCATTATTTGATATACAATTTGATAGATGTTAAACACAATAGTCCAACCAAAGTAATTTCCTTTACATTTGCATGATATTACAGAATTCTTACGTTTCAGCAAGGAAGAAACTATGTTGATGATCTTCTAATTGCATGGAACTGACATCTCTAATGCTTGCGAACCCGCCTTCAACTTTGGTGTATGAATTGAGAGAATTTACAATTGATTCACCCACTTCGAGAAACCACGGATCTGAGAACAAGGAAGATGTTATTTAGTAAAGAAGGTAACAATCAAAGCACTGAAAAGGAAAGCGAAACGACTTGAGGCATGATAACCAATGATATGCTATCAAAATTACACCTGCATATAAATAAACAACAAGGCTACATGAAATTTGGAGCAAAAACTAATGCCTGCTTGAAAGCGCTAACAAGCATTTGGTACTCAACAAAAGAAAAATCTAAAATGAACACCTAGACCCGTAGATGATTGGAAATAGGCAAGGAACTCCAGTACTCTCATTTCTGTTTCTGCGGGTTAACCTTATGACCTCATTGACCAATTAAAACGAACACTTAACCTTTCAACACCTTAATTAGTTGGTTATTTGTAATTTACACCAGTAAAATGCAAGTTAAAAGCCAACCATATAGTCACATTTTTGTGGAACAAATCTTTGTGCAGCATGTCATCATCCCACTAAAAGTTCATATAGGCAATCAAGGCACAATCTAACTGCACCAAGGGTAGAACTTAGCATAGTGTAAAACCCTAATAAAGAGCTCATAGAGCTCTCAAGTCATTGACTACAAATTTAACATACTCAATTTATCATTTTATTTTTATTTTTTTGGGTGGGGGATGAATAGATCAAGAATGATGAGAAGGCTAAACACATCCTTTCTTTTTATGTATTTCTTTCTGTCTTTCTTTGCATAACATATCTCATATTAACAGAAAATGAAACTTGAAATAGAACTCCAACCCAAATCCTGGGTAAAAGAAAGAGGGGGAGAGTAAGAGGCCAGAAGTTTGGGTTATCAATCTGAATTTCTATTTATCATCACAATTCTCACTTGTAATAAATTCCGTTACCTGATGAAATCTTTCATATAGTCGCCAACAATATATTAAAGACTATGAATCATACAAGTTTTCATGTCAGAAAAGGGAAATTTATCTGTTTTTTTCTTGTTGATGTCTAAAAAATGAAGTTACAATTATCTCAAGTTGTGCCTATTTTTCTTGAGAGACTCTTGAAGAACAAACTAACACATCTCAAATCATTAAACTCAAATGCCATAGGCAACAACACCATGTAAATTTACACCAAAAATCACAAACCCTGTTGAGCTCAAAGTTAAAAAGAAGATAAAGCAAATTACTCAAAAATGATTATACGACTATTAATCCAAAATATAAGTCAAAATCAAAAGAATCTAATATAAATACATACCCAAACTATAATAAGCACGTTAGAGTTAAAATTTCCAAGGTTCGTCGACAAATAACCTGAATAGAACAACTTTGCGTAGGTGTTCGCATTTAATTTCCATGTAGCAAGCCTTGTCAATGCCACATCGGCATTATTTCTAACACATGGCGAGACATCATAGATGCCACATCAACTGCACAGCATGATCATTGGGGTCATGTGTCTAGCCTAAGCCGGGGCACATAAACCGCCAACTTAGTCCTGGTCTACTAATGCAGTCAATGCCTCAAACTCAAGCCATAGTGCCAAGGAATGAGGCTCACCCCTTCTCGGTGAGTCATGCCTAGAAATGGGAACTGAGTGACTCCACCAGAGATTGCACCCAGGCCTCAAGGTGCACTCACTCTCCGGCAGAGCACACCATCTCTACAATGATTAGCCCGCCCTCCTCCCACAACTAAGCTAAACATCTCTAGGAGCTTTAATTCTCCAGACTTGGACCCCCGACGCTATGTTGCTTACCTATGCTGGCACCAGGGCCAAGAACTGCCCGCTTAGAATCCGTTAAGGTGCCTTGGCCATTGCCTTCCCTCCCTTGAGGAGACTAGCACCTTGACTAGTTTGCGAGAGTGGAAAACCCACAAGACTAGGTTGACCAAGACCTGCCACAACGTGAAGTAGGAATTCATAAAAGCATCGAATAAATTGTGAACTGAACTTGGCCTTCATGGGTTGGGTTGATTCAATTTAATATTCATTTGTTTTGATTTTGCATCCAAATATTCCAAAACCGACCAAATCGATTCGGCTCTCTAGTTGGTGGTTGGGTAACCAAACTAATCCGAGAACTGACCTCTCAAGGTATCAAAATGCAGCATTACGTAACGGTTGCGGCGGTAAGACACCATGCGTTACCCCCGCTTTTGTGGTGTAATTGAGATTCATAGGTGTGTAGGCCGTAACGGTACCGTTACGTAACAATTTTGAACTGCTTCTTTCGAAAAAAATAAATAAATAAAAAAAGGAGCTGAAAATGGGAGAAGAGGGATAGAGAGATAAGAGGGAAGATGGAGGAGTAAAAGATACAAAGAGAGAAGAGGGAAGATGAAGAACCTGTTATTGATTTATTGAAGCTAAAAGACCTATACTATTCTATTCAGCTGCTATCACTCAACTATTTTGTTTGTGTGTGTCTATCTATATATTGCTTAATAATAATAATAATAATAATAATAAGTGTGGTCATTATCTATTTAGCTTGATTAAAAAATATACTCTATATATATATATATATATATATATTTAGGCTCTTATTTATTCTCTTACTTTTGTCATGTTTATCTTATATATAATAGTTAGTAATTGAATTTTTTTTTAAATATCTAAAAAGCATAACACCTATAATTATATATTAATACATATTTTATACATATCAATTTTTGTTGATTAGTTTATTTTATTTTTATCTACAAGTTATCCAAAGGGAGAATGAATATTCAAATTATGCAGACCCAAAAAAAAAAAAAATTTATAATTTATTTTTTAATTTTTATATGATTACATTAGCATTATAATTTATTTTTTAAAACTATTCAAGTTAAAATTTACTTGTGCTTCCACAAATATAATAATTAACAAAATAATTTTATACATCTAAGTCCAATAAAAAAAAAAATTGCCACAAGTATAATATGAATTTATGACACATAAAGTCATTAATTATTAAAATAAAATGTAAAAAACTCAATTTATAGTGATTTAAAAATATGAAATATATTGGATCATACTTAAAGTTTTACAAAAATTGATCAAAATCCATTTTAAAACCCAATAAATATGATTATGGAAAAATGTATATATATATATATGCGTATCGGTAAGTTTTTTTCAAATTCTGTGAAAAATAAAAAATTCACGGTTCCAGTTACAACAACCGTTACGTTATGGCCTTTACACCCCGCAACTGCAATCGCGCCACCACTACCGCCACTGCCACCGTTATGATGACCGCAACCGCTTTTTAGAACCTTGCCTTTCAAATATGATTATGGAAAAATGTATATATATATATATGCGTATCGGTAAGTTTTTTTCAAATTCTGTGAAAAATAAAAAATTCACGGTTCCAGTTACAACAACCGTTACGTTATGGCCTTTACACCCCGCAACTGCAACCGCGCCACCACTACCGCCACTGCCACTGCCACTGCCACCGCAACCGCTTTTTAGAACCTTGCCTTTCATATATAAATAGATATATTTATAAATTTTATAGTTTAATTAACATGACTCAGTGTTATTGATTGTATATATTTTTTATGTAGACACTCTTACACAAAATCATAATACGTAATATTAATAGGTCTTTGTTGCTTTGCATTATAGTAATCAAAATTGTTTTAATGAATTAGTCAATTTTTATACAATGAATAAGTCAATTTTTATACAATAAAATTAAATCCGCGTATCCAACTTGAACCAACCCAAATTTTCTCGTTTTGGATGGGTTCAGTTCTACACCTTGGTTGGTTCAGTGCAAGGTCCAAAATTGAGAACTGACCAACGTCAGTCCAGTGTTGGGTGTAGCCCTAACTCAAACCAATCTGACCCATGCACATCCCTAACATGAAGCATATCATATTGATGTTCTTATTGTTCTGTTTTTTAGAATGAATGTAATATAGATAATCATTTTAGATAATAAAACAAATTAAAGGAAAAGGAAATTTATGCTTTGGCATAAAATTTGAAATGGGAACTACCAAATAATAAAATAAACAGACCTTTGGTTGCATGATAAAGATAAAATGTTGACTCTGCCAATTCAGGGCGCAAAGGATAATACTTTTCTGTAGGGTGTAACATCTGACGATCCAGCAAATACCTAAATAATTTTAAGGATGATTATTAGATTCATCTAAAATGTCTATATATATTAAAGACGAGGAGATAACCTCATAAGAACAAGAAGGATGATACCTTTCTGGTAGAACTCCAAACCTCTCCCATACAGAAAAGAACTCACGGTGTGATGAATTAGCAGCTGTAATATCCCCAACAAGTACCTAATTACCATAACAAAATATCAAAATTGTGCTCCAGGTTCAAGATGTGCAGGAACATATAATGGTCCTTGTTTACTTGCCTGTAGACCAGGCCAAAATGCTTGAAGGCTTGTTAGTTGCCAATAAGTTGCTTGTCCAGTCCTCATATCAGCTTCATGGTACCTAAATTACAGTATAATGATTCATACCACTCCCAAAATCAAATAGTTGTCAAGTTAATTTACAAAACCACGATTCGTTTTCTCTAAGTATGTACACTATATTAAGGATGTCAAATATTTTATTGAATTTCTATCTCAAATAAGTGAAAAGTAGTTTTATGATATGCCTGCCAGATGTAAATTTTGTAATTTGAAAAAGAGGCTAGTCGTACATTCGAAATGTTAAGGAAGATAAAAAAATGTTGAAGACATTAAGCTCTAAATTCTAATTATATAATTATAAAAAATTGAAAAGAAGAATATGATTTAGAATTGCAGAAATCTAACTTCTAAAGCAAATTAGACCTAACCTTGCTAAATAGGGCCGTGTGTGTGTGTGTGTGTATTTTTACAACTAAAAACAGGTATAGTTCTTATTTGAAGGGATCTTGTCTTTAGAACACTCCCTTTCATTTCGTTATTGCTCTAAAAAAATTATTGTGAATCTCTGAAACAGTCCAGCTCATAGCCAGGACTTTTATATTGACATTTAGTTGGTTAATCCAAATCAAATGACTCACCACCTGAATTTGGATTTGAACAAGAACTGTTATTGAGACTACAGATAATTTCAGAGTTGACCTTACACTAACATTGGGAAAACTAGGAATTTACCCGTATAAGATGTTTCAGCAAATTTGGCAACTTCAATGCCCTCCAAAATTGGACGAAGATTTTGGAAATTCCTTTAAACTCATGATAAATAAAACTCTGAAACTTGGTATCAGCCAAAAAGAACTGAAATGCCTATGCCTATATGGACTAGAAGCTTTAATGAGGATAAATGTGTAAGTTTATGAATAAACTTGTATATTCAACTATATTTTAATACAATGTGTACATCTCATATATATAGCAATTCTAGACCTAATCCTAAACAGGAAACAAGAAAAAACCTAAATTAATCCCAAACAGGAAATAATAATATAATATTAATATTATTCTTTGCTCAACCAATTAAAATCAAACTAATTTGTCTGGATCTGAATTTTTTATTTTATATTTTGTGTATGTTCTATGGACTTATTTATCCATTTTTAAATGGGGATTGATTTAGGCTGATAACTTGTTTGATGTGAATGGTATTATGTTAGGAAATTATTTGTCTGCTCCACAAAATCATGGACACTTTTAAGGTGGTATGTCTGTGTTGGACTCCGACATTCTTTGGGAAATTTGGATACATGTCAGACACATTTAAATGTGTCCATGTCCATCTTTCTTAGGTCTGTTACAATTTGCCAAAGTTAACACGATTTTGGAAATGCGTGCTCTGTTACGTAATTGAGCATGCATTGGTAGATCGTTCCCTCTCCCTTTTTTTTTTTTTTTTTTTTTTTTTTCTACCAAAATTTTATTATTTTCCATTAAAAAATACATTGAGCCTCTTGTGGGCCGGGCCCTAAGTAGGCCTTAAGCGGGCCCATGGGCCGAACTTCAGAACGATGGCCCAAATCCTAGTGTAGGGGCTCGGGCTTGGGCCCAAGCACACCTAAACGGGGCGAGCCCATCTTGGGCCACGGGCGGGCTTCAGGCCACCCACAAGCCACGGGCCATTTTTACACCCCTAGTCCGCTCATGGAAGACAATGTTATGTGCAATCTAAATAGCACTACGATTGTCACAATAGAGGAAGATCGGAGAAGACTAAGGAACGCCCAAGTCAGAGAGAAGACAACGAAGCCAAACAACTTCAGCAGTAGCATGAGCCATAGCACGATACTCAGCTTCGGCAGTAGTACGAGCAACAACAATTTGTTTCTTGCTTTTTCAAGAGATCAAGGAATCGCTAAGAAACATACAGAAACCAGACGTAGACTTGCGATCAGTAACATTACCAGCCCAATCAGAATCAACATAGGCCACCAAATCCAGAGAGAAAGTAGAGGACAATAGTAAACCTTGAAATATAGTACCTCGGAGATAGAAAAAAATCCGAACCAAGACAGCCCAATGTGTGGAGCGAGCAAGCAAAGACAAACTACCTAACCACATGAATAGCATAGGCAAGATTAGGACGAGTAACCGTTAGATAGACTAAGCAACCCACGAGCTCTCGATATAGAGTAGCATCATTCAGAAGAACATCATCAGTAGTGTTGAGCTTTACATTAAGCTTAATAGGGATATCAGAAATCTTAGTGCCAGTAAGACCGGCACGATGAATAACCTCATTGGCATACTTGGCCTGAAAGAGAAAGTAGCTCTTAGGAGAAACAGCTACCTCAATACCAAGAAAATACCGCAATAGGCCCAGATCCTTCATTTCAAAGGTGCGAAAAATATGCTGCTTGACCTCAGATATAGCAGAAGAGTCAGAACCAATGATGATTATATCATCCACATACAGTAATAACGCAACAAATCCAACAGAGGAGTGAAAAAGAAATAAAACAGAATCCTGGGCACAAGGATGAAATCCAAGCTCAGTAATAATGTGACAACCCTCACCTCTGATTAATGTTAAACTGTGACTGAGCATGATAAGTAACTGATAAGAACGAAATTCTGAACTGATTGTATGAGTGTATTGTTTCGAATGCATTTCTATCTATTTGATTTCTGAATGAATCTGTTCATGTTTTAACTTTGAACTGTGAATTAAAGGTCTTATCGGCGACCGAACCAGAAATTGATTAGCGTTTTATGCTAATTAGAATTTATGTGATTTTATGGTAGGTTTAATTGAAATTTGATTTGGAACGATTAAATTAGATTAAATAAAGTTAAATTACATTAGTTTGCATTTATTACCATTTTGCCATTGAGTGGTTTATGCTAGGCCACTACTTCTCTCACCCTTGCATATGTTTGAGGGATCATTTGCTCATCTTCTTGAGACCAAACCGTGAGAGAGGGAGAGTAGGAGAGAAAACTTGAGTTCATCAAAATTGGCTTGGAGAGTTAGGAGAATTGAAAGAAATTTGCATAATTGAGCTTCCATACTTGAATTCAAGACCTAAGGTAGGGAGTTCATCCTCTTATTCATGTGTTTAAATTGTTTCTTGCATGATTCATGGAAATTTGGTGACTAGAGTCAAGAATTGAGTTAAAGAGTTGATTTGAGTAGCTAATCCATGCATGCATGCACATACTCTAACATTTTGAGGTTGTTTTCATAAGAATTTCCACATGCATGTCTACATTTGGGTTGTAGTCCATGAATTCATCATGTTTTGGAGTTCAAACTTGCATTTGGTTATGTTTTGGAACATTGGAATCCATTGGAAAACTTGCATGTGATGTTCTTGCATTGTTTTTCAAGTTTCCTTTGAATTTGTGTTCAATTGACTTACCTATGCGCTTTGATTTTACAAATTGATCTTTGAAATATGTTGTATTATGGGTTTTCAAGTGTTTTCCAGAAAATTAACCCAAAAGAATCGAATTTAAAGCTTTAAAAGTCGAGTTTCATGCTTGAGGATCAATCTGGAAATTCCAGATTTTGGACCCACGCTCGAGCGTAGGACCTCACGCTCGAGCGTACACTCTGAGTACATGCACTTCCGCTCGAGCGTAGGAAGTCACGCTCGAGCGTGAAATGCATATACCCAGAACTTCACATGTTTTGCAGTCCGCTCGAGCGAGAGAATTCACGCTCGAGTGAGGATCTGAGTCTCACGCTCGAGCGGAGGTCGAGCGTCCGTCGAGCGTGAAAATCGTGCAATCCAGTACTTTTTCATGAGTTTACAGTCCGCTCGAGCGAGGGAAGTCACACTCGAGCGGAGCTCCTTTGTCTGCATGTCCGCTCGAGCGTAGAAAGCCACGCTCGAGCGAGACTCCTGTTTCAGCAAAAATTTGAAAAGTATTTTAAAGTGCATTTTTGCATCATCGTTCCATCTTAGGCATTCCTAGGCCAAGTTTAAGGCATCTTAATGAGGATAATGTTATAGAACCACACCTGTATAGTTAGGGGCTAAGTTATTAATCCCGAGTGTGTGTTCGTTCTGCAACTGTAGGGTTGACATCCGAGGACGCTCGTTAGCTTGTCTCTAGCCCAGTGCTCTGTGAGTAACAATGTTGTAAAAATATGTTCAATTATGATTATTTTCTGAATGATCAACTGTTCTACTTACTGAACCGTTATTGTTTAATGAATGAATATTTGTCCTACTTGTAAACTGTATCCGTGGCATCCATAGCAATTTACTGTTACTGTACTTTTACTGCTACTGTCACAGAGATCTCTGTCAGTTCCATGTTTGGAACCACTACTGTTTACTATTATGATGGCCATCAACTGACTGTTTGGTCTATTAAGACCTACTGTACTGTTTTGCTAATAGATGTACCACATATGACTATTATGGTTCTAAATGACTGATTCACTGATGCAATTGACTGTTCTAATTACTGAAAGGACATTCATTCTTAACCCCTTTACGCATATGTTATTCACTGGGCTTTAGCTCACTGTTTATATATATATGTAGGTGTCCAAGCACCGGACCGGAGTTAGGAGCGTCAAGTTAAGCTCCCGTTTTGTCAAGCCAACCTTTGTGCCTCACTTTGAGGTTCCACGTCTGTTCAAGCTAGGGCTGCTCTGGGGTGTCTCAGTTCCACCCTTCTGTCTCCGTTTTGTAACAAATGTTATAAACTTGACTGTACAGTTATAGTTAGGGATTTGATCCCTGACATGGATGTTTGTGTATATGTTGCATATATATATGTTTTGGTTGTCAATGCGGCATGTTTATAAAAAGTCTTTTTGCATTCAGACTATTACAGCTCATTGGACATCTTTTATTTACTGTTTTAGCTTCTGTCAGCCCCTTTACTCTGTATTTCTGTCGTTACTGTTAAGCAAGCCTTCGGTAATCACGGATTACTAGCCGGTTACGGTGCTAAACCCATAGGGGCGGATTTGGGTCGTGACAAATAGCAGCCTGAAAGCGATCATATCAAGCACGAGGAGATTGCTTCAGACCATACAGAGCACGTGTGAAGGCGATAAACCTGTCCAGAGGAATAGTGAAGGCCGAGGGGAGGACGCATGTAAACCTCCTCAGTGAGATGGCCATTAAAAAAAACATTCTAAACATCCATCAGGTAAAGAGGCCAAGAACGAATAGCAGTGACAGAGATTAAAGTACGGACAGTAGTCATCTTAGCAACAAGAGCAAAGGTCTCCTCATAATACATACCATACTCCTGTGAGAAACCTTTAGCAACCAGACGAGCTTTGTAGCGCTCAAGAGAACCATCAGAATGACTCTTGACTTTGTAGACCCGTTTACAACCAACCAGATTCTTACCAGCAGGCAAAGGAACCAACTCCCAAGTACTAGTTTTCTGTAAAGCAAACAACTCATCCTCCATAGCTTGAACCCAATAAGGATCCTAATAGGCCTCCTTATAAGACTGAGGTTTTGAAAAAGAGTGAATAGCAGACAAAAAGTACGATAGAAAGCAGAAAAACATGTATTAGACCAACCCAATCTGTTTGGAGGATGACGCGCTCGAGTAGGATATCGGTGTGCAGCAAGATCAGAGTCGTCAGAAGTAGGAGGATCAGCAATAGGGGCAGAGACAACCAGTAGAGGAGGAGCCTTGCGACGAGAATAAACTAACAACGAAGGAGGAGGAGAAGAAACCGAAGGCCAAACATACAAAGGAGAGAGTACTTAGGAATTTAGAAGAACAAAGCCTCATAAGGAGACCGACCAAAAAGAAGGGGAGTAGATATGCGACTGAGAAGAAAAGTACCAGTAAGAACTGCCTTTCCCCAGAATGGAGCCGGAACTGAGGTAGAGAAAAGAATAGACCTAGCTGTTTTAAGGAGATAACGGTGTTTACGCTCGGCTCGACCATTTTGGGCAGGTGTATCTGTACAGGAAGTTTGGTGAATGGTACCCAAATTGGCCAAATACTCAAAACTCATTTTTAAAATATTCCCCACCCAAGGCAGACCGTAACACTTTAATTGTAGACCCAAACTGAGTAGTAATCATAAACTGAAAGATACGGTATATGTGATAGAAATCGGACTTATGAGTCATAAGATAAACCCAAGTGTAACAGGTGCAGTTATCAACAAATGGCACATAGTATGTAGAACCTCCTTTGGTGAGAACAGAAAGGCTCTAAATATCAGTATGAACTAAAGAAAACGGTGTATCAAATATAGAAGTACTTTTACGAAAAGGTAAGGCTGTCATTTTGGCAAGTTTACACTCCCGACATTCAGTAAGTTCACTAAGAGAAACTTTACTCAATATACCTAACTGAGCTAAAGACCGTAAGCGGTTAGCAGACAAATGCCCTAATCTAGAATGCCACAAGTAGAAAGAATTAGACAGAGAATCTAACTAAAAAGAGGAAAAAGCATTTGGAGAAGTTGTCATAGGCAGATGCAAGCTCTCCGCCACAAAAAGGTCTCCAACTCTGTGGTCAGTCCCAATCTGCTACTTAAACATCCGATCCTACACAGAATAGATAGAAAAAGAAAAGATAACATCAAAACTAGATGGAATAGAGACAGACATAGCAGACGGTAAGATAGACCCAACAAATATAACAGACATACCAGACCCATTAGCAGCATTTACAGTAATAAGAAAAGGAAGGGGAGTACAATTTTGAAGTAAGAAGAGATGGGGAGTCATATGATGAGAGGCACCAAAGTCAAAAATCTAGACAGACGAAGAGATACCTGAAAAAGACCCAAGCAAACCTAAATAAAGAGAGGAAACAATGGAGGTAGATGAGGATGGCTAGGAGGTAGACAGTATATGTTGAAACTGACTAATCTGAGCACTCAAGACAGTCAAATCAATATCAGGAGCTGGAGCGGATGCAGTAGAACTGGCGAGAGCCTGAAAATTACTCGGAGAAGAACAGCAAAACTGGGTCCGAGACTGCTGAGAAGACGAGCCAGAAAGACATCCCTTCTTGGGACAGTGATACTTCCAATGGCCTCTCTGATGGCAGAAGGCACACTCATCGGAAGCCAAGCATCCTGCCTTGGGCCTAGCAGAATCCAAGAAGACAAATGGAGAACTAATAGCCTGAGTCTGATCACCTAACATTGTAATGAACCAAAAATAAAGAACTGATTGAGCAAAGTGTAATAAACAAAAAATTAGGGGGCTCAAGTATACTAATCCCAAAATAGAACCAACTATCAGGGGCCACCAAGACCTCACAGGCAGAGTCAGATGAAGATGAATCAGAATAAGAGAGATCAAGCGAGTGTCGCACATCCAGAACCAACCAGGTAGGTTTCGATATGACAAAGGCTGATACTGATCGCGATGTCAATTGTAACTCTAAGACCACAGAGAGATGTCGAACAAGCAAAACTTCAAACCAAAGAACTTCGCAATGCAAACCAGATGAGTTGTGAGTCGAACGGAACAAGTTGAGTCGAACCAAATGGGCTATGATGCGAAGTCTTACAATGAATCACGTGGGTCGCAAGTTGACGGGTCACGATTTGAACTCAAATGAGTCGCACAAGCAAGACGAAGCAAAAGGTGAACCCATGACTCGAATTCGATCGAATCCAGAAATCAAACCAGATATGATTTCGAACTAGAGGGAGAAAACTTCGAACGAGAGGGAACCTTCAAATCGAAGGGAGAACTTCGAACTAGAGGGAGCTTCGAACAAGGGTTTCAGACACGGCTTTGATAACATGTAAGTTTTTGAATAAACTTGTATATTCAACTATATTTTAATACAATGTGTACATCTAATATATATATATATATAGCAATTCTAGACCTAATCTTAAATAGGAAACAAGAACAAACCTAAACCAATCCTAAATAGGAAACAAAATTCACATAATATATACTATACTAATATTATTCTCACAAAATGAACCACCAAATTGGTGTTAGTCTCTTTTCTCAGGATGTAAGATGATCAAGGTGCATAAACATCAATTTAGTAAAAAAAATAAATCAGGACCACGATAGCATACTTTACAGTTCTGAACATTAAAAGCTAATTAGCTGGTTCTGCATTGGGGAAAGAAAAGAGCATTGTATTAAACTAGAAGATAATTAGCTGGTACTGTACCACGGGCCATGTCTAAAATATTTCTGCACCCCAAGATAAGCAGACTGAAACATTCTCCAAAACTCATCCCTTCCAAAAAGAATGTGGGCTTTCAATAGATACTCATAGAATGAATCAACCCCTGAGGAAACCACAAGGAACACAGCATTAGAAAGAGTAATGTCTCCAAACCATATATGGAGAGGGAAGTTGATTACTACCAAGGAATGCAATATGCCAATGTATAACTAGTCATTTCATGTTTATTAACAAATAACTAAGTCTTGAACACCACACTACCTAATGCAACTGAAGGAAGATTCAAGTATTTTAGCAACTCCCATGAACTTTATGCACATAATCCATCACAAGAATGGATCAAAGCTGAGAGAACATACCTGCCCCAATCCCAGACGAGTACTCTATCCATTCTCCAGTTTCCACATCCAAAGTAGTTCCTAGAAGATTCAAAGAACTCCGCATGCTCCATAACTTGCGAAGAGCACGCAAGGCTGCAGATTCAAATCTGGGTTCACCAGTTAATCGTGATAAAGCTCCCATTTCAAGAATCAGTGAACCTGAATCCGTAAATAGAAAATTAGCTTACTTCAAGAAATTTTTCAAAGGCTTCATTCAAACTGCAAAAAATGTGCTCCTCACCACACCCGGATGTGCTTGTTTCAGTTGTCTCATTCTCAATCACCCCATACTGTCCACAGAATTTTGCATTGATGTGGTGTCATAAATCCTTCTTACAAACAAAACCAGCAAACCATATTCATACTTTCCAATCTTTTAATGGAGAATATGGAAAGACAGAACGTATTGAAAAAAAAAAATGCCCAAGCATGTTTTGAATGTAATATAGATTCTGAAAAGCAACACATGCCACAATGAAAGTTTAAATGGATGACAATTTAAAATCTTGTCACTTTGTTGGAAGCTTTATTTATTTTTATAGCTCCATAGGTGTTCATGATTATGCGTTTCAAATAGCATCAAATTTATAAAACCAACTTTCATACTACTATGAATCTTGTGATCATAAAGAATGGTGTATCAGCCTACAAATTTGCCAGCCTGTGGTATTTATTTTTAGCCTGCAGTGGCACTCATTTTCAGCCTAGAAGTCCCAAGCATAAAACCACAACATAATGTCAACACACAGCATATAATAAATCTGTCATGAGCTCCATGCTAAGAAGCATGAACAAGAAAACGCAGAAATGCAATTTTTCAAAAAATGTAAGACACAGTATGCATGGGATACGTGCACAGTATGTAATTTAAAAAATTATTACATGTCATACACTTAAATATTATATAATTATTTTATGTCAAATATTTATTCTTATCAAATTCATCAACCTTGCGTAATGCTACTCCAGTGAAAATAAATAAATAAATAAATAGAATGGGACACCGCGTGTCCCCCATCATTTCCATAGGGTGTCCGACATAAGGGAAGAAAAAACGAGACACTTCCTCCAACATGTTTGAAGCATGTCTGACACATGTCTGCAGCATGTTGGTGCCCGATACGTGTGGTACACTGAAACATGACCTCAAGAGATGCATTTGTGCTTCATAGATTACACATTATACAAAAGCTTAAATCAAGTTTTTCTCAAAAAAAAAATTTCCAAAATTTCCAAACTAAATTTTACTGCTTTCAACACAATAATTGTGTTTATTTTGTGAGGCATATAAAAAGAAAGAGTAACTTGTGGAAATGGAATTCTAATTAAAATGTGAAACACATCTCTCTATCAACTACTGAATAAATTGAGAAGTTACTTCCCGACTGCATTTTTTTTGTTCTACATTTCACACTTGTTCTCTTAATATCTTGCAATAAGAAAATTAATCCTCATGTGCTTTGCCTAGGAACACATATTAAGCTTTTAAAACAACTCCCTTAAACCATAGTTTCATTTTAAAACCGTCTTCTACCAATTTTTAACAAAGAACTATAAATATATTTCTTCTTTTTAGATCGGCAATAACTAAAAATCTATTTTAGAGCAAACCACAACCTAAGAATTCACTAAGGTGCTGAAACTTCAAAGGTCCTGCATCTAGATCTATGAAGCATGGGTGCTTCAAAAAATATGCCGTACCCATACCGGATACTTACAGGCGTATGGTACCTCGTATGGTACTTCTGCATACGTACTGGGTACACGAAACACATACCCAGATTTTTTCTTCTTAATTTTTGGCATACCTAGACGTACCTAGTATATACCCAAGCCATACCGTACCTCAGTTGAAACAATATTTTCTTCTACTACAGAGAACTCCTTTCACTAGACTTCTTTTTTATTTTTAGTTTTATGCTTAGCATGATTTTAAAATTAAACTATGGTTTGTAAGTTATTTAATATATTGACATTTATTTTAATTTATACATTTACTTTTGGCATTAATGTTAATTATAGGTTGGATCTTAACAAATTAAACAATTTAATTAATTTTTACATTATTCTAAATTAAAAATTAATATTTTTTTACAAGCGTACCAAGCCATATCCGTACCTTACTTTTTTTGAATTTTACCATATCGACGTATCCGTATGGTACTAGTATTAGTACTCGTACCGATATCCGTGCTTCGTAGACCAACACTATCTAGAGGCAGGACCTTTGAAGTGTCAGCACCTTAGTGAATTCTTAGGTTGTGGTTTGCTCTAAAATAGATTTTTAGTTATTGCCAATCTAAAAAGAAGAAATAGATTTATAGTTATTTGTTAAAAATTGGTAGAAGAAGGTTTTAAAATGAAACTATGGTTTAAGGGAGTTGTTTTAAAAGCTTAATATGTGTTCCTAGGCAAAGCCCATGAGCATTAATTTTCTTATTGCAACATATTAAGAGAACAAGTGTGAAATGTAGTAAGAAAAAGAAAGAATATACAAGTAGAACAAAAAAATGCAGTCGGGAAGTAACTTCTCAATTTATTCAGTAGTTGATAGAGAGATGTGTTTCACATTTTAATTAGAATTGGTTTTTTGGAAATTGCATTTTATGGTTCAAAGATCCTGAATCTTTCTTAAACTTATAATATGGACGCTCACTCTATGCAAGGGAAAACAATCCCAAAGAAGGGAGTCTACAACATCAAATTATAATCCAGTAAGGCCAAGCATAACCCTTCAAGTAATCATTCAAAATATTTGATTATTTTACTTCTTTAAAGCTTATCTCATGATGCATGAAACACTTCTTGGCAGAGAAAACTTCTCCGTCCTCGGCCTACTTTCTTAAATGGACGCAACGCATGCCCTTGGATAAGAAAAAACTTCTATTCTCTTTAGTAAAGACATGTTCCCTTCTGGTCATTGAACCATCACACACCTATCACTGTATGGAATTTGATGCTCTACCCATGCAACTCTAAACAAGTTCATTTGAAGAGGGGACATACAATTCAAGCTTTTACTCATTGATGCATTGAAATTTAAAAATAAAAATAAAAAATAAAATTCCTTATTTCAATAACAAAGACATCAAGGACATTTGTCAGATTAAAAATGTCTCATCTTCAACATAATCCATGCTTACTTCCAACATTATGAAATCAGTTATTGAAGCTCCATGTCCCTATTAAGCACAAAGAGCCATTCACGATTATGAAGAGACTCAAGCAAGTCAAAGCTACTTCCCAAAAGCATAAATGAAGAATCTTAAAAATATCAAAATTTGTGGATTAAAGAGGAATTGGAATGCAAACATTTGAGACCATGCTAGTGCAACAAGCAAAAAGAATCATTCAGAATCTGAAGGGAAACAAGTAATTCAAAGCTACTATACAAAGATAAATGAAACATTTTGAATACTTCACATTTTATGGATTAATTTGAAATTGAAAATCTTTCTTTTAACTTAAGCAAGACGTAAAAATTACCTTCAAGTTAATCCATGCAAAGGGCAATCCTGTAGGGGTATCAAAAGCAGGTAGAAAGCGCTGCCCCAAATCTTCAGCTAGAATAAGAAGTTGATTCTTGTACTTTCCTTGGACCAACCTGTTTGTAGAATCAGTTGCAAGAATATGAGCAGAAACAAGTCCTCCAAGTACTCTTATGTTGCACTACACAATAGCGAAAACACGATTAAGCACTCCAAATTCAACTTGATTCGCCATAAACAGCACTCCTTGGTAAAGAATAAAAGAAAAGGTGGCATTACTCAAGATTTATTTCAGTAGTACATTGAAGCCACATTAGATGAAGTGTTGAGTAAAACATTAAATCCTATATTTTACATTAGAATTTTTGAAGTTATACCTCAAAAAGATTTATCCTTGCATCGACATCAAATGTTAAATTTTCAGAAAGCCAAAGAACTGCCCTTTCAAATTCTGTGTCGTTCCCCATGATAACAAGGCTGAGAGAGAAAAAAAAAAAAAAAAAAGATAGAAACGAAGAGTGTTAAGATAATGATCTGTTACAATATTTTAATGGCCTAGAAGATAAAAGTACAACTATACCCTTGTATCAATGAACTTCTCTCTATGAAAGAGTATATCATACCTGGACAATGATTCTATAAGTGTAAGGGCAGATCCATTATACTCTTGCGGCAAATGTTCAAGCTAAAATTTGAGATGGTAGACAATTAAATTATCCCTTTAACGCTGATAACTGCAAAGGATTTCAGGTGATAAAATTACCTTCAAATTTCCAAGCTCGACAAGGGAGTCAGTGTATGTTTTGGCAACGGGCTTTAGCTCATCATGCTACAATAACAAAAAGATAGAAATTCATGTCATTATACAAAGATAATATTTCTCTCCCAAATAATTAGTTGGAACTAGAACTAACCGGAAAAGCATAAGTCATATAGTTGTCATAAGCATGGTAAAACCTGAAAAAGGAGAAAAAGACATTATACTGTTAAAGCATGTTTTCCACATTGGACGGTTAAGAAAGAGATGCCAGATTTCAACAATGCAGAAGCCTCTTTTTTGTTTTCCATTTTTCTTTGATCATAGTTTTCTTTCCTTTTCTCATTTGATAACAACATTCATACCCAAAAATTAGAATATATTGATAATAGCTTCAAATAAAACCCCTACACTTGCTTTGGTTATCAAGGAATGAGGAAAAGGAAAACAATTTTCAGTCAAACATATTCTTCAGTTTGCTTCCTGCAAAATCAAAGCCACAACTAAACTAAAACTATGAGTATTGAAAGACATAGTTTAGTTAACTAGTTTTTTTAATCAAAAAACCAAAAACTAACCGTTATACTCCTTTCTTCTATTTTCCTCTAATTTCCAAACAACCACATGGAAAACAATGACACATTTGATACCTTTCATTGGAATTGTTGTTATTAGAAACTCCATAATTTTTTTGATGAGTGCTAGGCACTTTTTAAATTGAAACCTATAGAAAGGCCGCAAGTCTGAAGTTAGATATTCAATAGTTCAAAAAATTCAACACGGCAATAAAGTGGGGGGGTACTAAATAATAAAACCACAAAAATCTTATAGGGCATGGCAACATCTGTATTTCACAGAACCCCATCACACGAAACCAAACTGATATAGTAATTTATGCTAATTATGCATAATTTGACCCCAAAAAAAAAAAATTTAAATTGGGTAGTGAAAATGCATAAAATCAATCATTACTAAAGACAACCCGCAAAGTGGACAGTAAACAACTTGCTAGTGTTAACACCAAAAAATCAAGTTGAACATGAGAATTCACTCCTTTCAGAAATCTATAACTCTAAATAGAACTTACATCGCGGTGTTTGGCAACAATTTTTTTTGGGGGTTTTTTCATTTTTTCCACTAAAAGACAAATTTTTTGCAAAAACAAAAAAACAAATCCAAATAAAATATCACATCAAAATCTCATAATCATTTTAGTTTTTTCCTCACAAACATATAAAGTGGGGGGGTACTAAATAATAAAACCACAAAAATCTTATAGGGCATGGCAACATCTGTATTTCACAGAACCCCATCACACGAAACCAAACTGATATAGTAATTTATGCTAATTATGCATAATTTGACCCCAAAAAAAAAAAATTTAAATTGGGTAGTGAAAATGCATAAAATCAATCATTACTAAAGACAACCCGCAAAGTGGACAGTAAACAACTTGCTAGTGTTAACACCAAAAAATCAAGTTGAACATGAGAATTCACTCCTTTCAGAAATCTATAACTCTAAATAGAACTTACATCGCGGTGTTTGGCAACAATTTTTTTGGGGTTTTTTTTATTTTTTTCACTAAAAGACAAATTTTTTGCAAAAACAAAAAAAACAAATACAAATAAAATATCACATCAAATCTCATAATCATTTCAATTTTTTTCTCACAAGCATCACATCCACCCACAAAAAAAAAAACACACCTATCTTCCCAAACACCAAAAATATATAAAAAAAAAATTTTAAAAAAATGAGATTTAACAAATGAATAAGTGGACCAAGATGATTAATTCCTACTTTTCAAGAACCCAGCACAGCTTATATAACTGGACAGTGTACCGCCAAACTTTTGTTAAATTCAACCTGGGATTCATCATAGTAATCAACCCATATTTAAGAAATAGGCCAAGCAAATAAATAGCAACAATTTGCATAAATTCAGCTAAAAATAGCTAAATTATTGATGATGTTTCGACTTATATTTGCCCAACATCCATAAAAAAATCAGAATACACAAAATACACATGGTATCTAGTTAAATAAAAATAAAATTGTGAAACTCAATGGGGATTTGACTCACATCTTGCGAACTTTCTCACTCATGCGTCTCTTCTTAGCTGCCCAACGAGGATCGAGTTCAGACATAGATTTGTAGAAGATGGTGGGAGATATAACGAGAAAAATCAGAACCCATGTCCCAGAATTGCGAGGAAACATGACTGGGACAGAGTACAGATGAGAGAATTGTAGATCGGGTGGACGAGCGAAGAAGACAAGTACGCTTCAGGGAAACCCACTTCCCAAACAATGGCGGGTGTGTTTGGTAACGTGGACAAAAATTTTATAAACTGTTTTTATTTTTATTTTTTATTTTTTTTTATTATGTTAAAAAAAAACGTAAACTACAAACGTGTTTGGTAATTGATAAAATAATTAAAAAAAATTAAAAATATAAAAAATAGTGAGAAATGACAAGTGGCGGCAGAAGACGGTGGTGGAAAGTAGTGACGGTGGGTGGTGGTAGGTGGGTGACGGTGACGGTGACAGTGACGGTGGCGGTGACGGTGGCGGTGGCGGTGGCGGGTGGTGGGTGGTAGTGAGTGGGTGGTGGTGGTGGGTTGGTGGGTGACGGTGATGGTGGTGGGTGAAGAAGCGCTTCCCAATATTGCGGTCCATGCCAAATTACAAGTCTACAAGACAAGGGCCTCTCGTGATTGCATGTTGTGTAGTGCACAATTGGATCCGTTTGCATGCAGCTATGGACCCATTATTTATGGAAGCTGATAATGAAATGGCCGCAGAAGCAGAAGCAGACGAGCTTGTTGGAAACCAAGCTGACTACGTTGACATGTCACAACATGGGTTAACGTATCAATCGAACATTCGGGATGCAATTGCTACTGCTATGTGGCAAAATCATGTTGGCCACGGATAGAAAATGAATGTCAACAAGGCAACTCCATATCGTACTGAGTACTGGTTTTAAATGTGTAATTATTTTATTACTTTCAGTCATTATGTAATGTGGTGGGTCATCGATGGTGGTAGGTGGTAGGAGGTGGGTGGTGGTGGCAAGTGGATGGTGAGTGATGGTGGCAGGTGGTGGTGAGGGGTGGGTGGTGGTGGAAAATGGTGACGGGTGGTGGGTGGTAGTGGCGGAAGACGGTGGTGGAAAATGGTGGTGGGGGGTGGCTAGTGTTGGGTAGTAAAAAAAAAAAAAAAAACTCAAAACTCAAAACGGAAATATATTTTTTGTATTTTCATTTTTTGGCCAAATTTATAAACTGTGACCACTGATTTATAAATCAAAATTTTTACCAAACAAATTTTTATTTAAACTTTTTAAATTTTTATAAATATAAATAAAAAATTAAAAACGTAAATGTTACCAAATGACAAGAATATCAAAGAGTTGTCTCAATACTCAAATATTAGCGTGATGACACATCTTATTATCCTTTTCAATATTCGAAAAAAAAAACTTCATAACCTTCATATAATTTTTTTATTTATCAATTAGGTACAAATGAGCACTCTTTTTTGTTTTCGTAATTTTTAAAAATAATTTTGAATTTTCATATTTTGATTCTTTTCTGAATTTTTTTTAATATTACTTATTTTACTTTTTACATTTAAAAAGTATAAAGTTTTTGATTTATCAACAATAAAATTACACATTAACTCCTTTGAGATTTCTAAAATCACGCTAACATTCCCCTTTTTGCTTCACTTTTCTATTTCAAATTCACCCCTCCATGCACTTTGTGTTAACTTTTATAAACGAAAAAAGATGCAAAAATCCACAATCATCACTGATCGCACAAAAGATCGAAAGAGAGCAAAAGATATTCTCCTCACCAATCAAAACCCTCCATCGTATCACAACCATTTTTACTCTTCATCTCCATAGATTTACCCTCCAACATCTTCACTGTTACATCTTTACCCTAGTTTTAATACGAACAATGCCACATCTATCTAAAAACCTATTAACAATCTTATTGTAAGAGGGGTTAACTTGAGCCCATTAAATTAATTAGGTCCAATCGGAGCCCAATCGAAAAGCCCAAAAGTTAACGGGTCCAGAGAAATTATCACCAAGTGGCTTCAAATGAATTCTATTGAATGGACCCATAAGAAAGTCAACAAATTGGGCTGAGGAAGACCTATTGAACTTATATCTCTAGAGAAAGTCCAACAAGCCCGTCCGAAGAGGCCCAAATCATACTGGCATCCGAAAAGGTTAACCGTTGCTTTCAAAAGAGGTGAAACCCTCGAAGGAAATCTATTGTTCAACGTATTTGCTTAGTCTCGAAAGGATTCGAAACCATGAACCTAGAGACCTATTGAGCTCAGACTCGAAAGGGTTCAGATACACAAACCTAAAGATCCGAAGCACTTGATTTCGAATGTATTCGAATACAATTTAAAAGTCACTTTGTTAATGAGTCCTAGAACACTAGTTGGCTTGGAGCGTTTTGAGATCTACGCACTAAAACCATGGGCGTGACAGAGTCCAAACAAATGACCCGATCCCGAGGGCGATGAGTGGAGACAAATTCACTCTTCAATTAAACTAGCATATACTCGGGTCAAAGTGACACAATCTAGCCTATACCCGAGTTGAGGTGATACGATCTAGGAGATTCTTAAAACTCGGCGATATTTATGGTAGAGTGTTCTCTTGAACTACCCTTGACCCTTTTGCAATATGATGTCCTCTAGGACTACCCCTGAGCCTCTAGGATAATTGTGGATCATTGGTTAGGTGTGGCTAAGAATAAGGATTCATCGAGAGATTGATCTTCCCTTTAGGATTTTTCTCATCTTCGAAGAGGTTACCTCCTCAAACGAAGTGGTTAAAGAGAATATTCCCTATGTGCCTTGCACATGGGCTCTATTCTACATCATAAGGTGCCTATAAATAGTACTCACCCATAACTTTACAATGGATGAATTTTGGAGAGAGAATTTTTAGAGGAGAACTAATTTCCCTTTTCCATTATCTACCTTAAGAGTGAAAGTGGAAGATCTATAGAAGAACCTTGCCATTATTCTCTTTCTAATTATTTTGCCTTCTTCTTCACCTAATTTCTTATCTCAATCATCTTTTTGTTATTGTGTTTTTAAGTTCCAACCGTTGAAGAATCTAAGCCTCTCATTGTTTCTAGAAGATTCGAAGTTTCTAGCGACATTTGAATTTTTCGGTAGACATTCAAAAATTTTGGCGACTTTTCCAGTGACCTTCAAATTTTCTGGCAACATCCTCGGATCGTGTCATACACTTATTAAAACATACATGTCTAAACATCATTAGATATTAAGATGTCATTTTTTTTTGTACAACTAATCACATTTGACCTCTTATATTTTTATTAAGATTTTTAATGAGATTATTAATATATATAAAATTATTATTTTAATAGTTGAGAAAATGAGATTTTTTAGAGAGAGAACATACCACAAATGCATAAACCCCCTCCCCATATTCTCTTACTGTTGCAACTTCTCCATCCATCGGCTCTCTCTACTCTAATATCAACCTCAATTAGTCACCTCCGTTGTGGATTTATCAAAAAAAAAATAATAAAGATTTGGTGAAAGAGAGACAGAGAGACTGTAATGGATTACACTTTTTTATTTTGCTCATTGTTATTTCACTATTTACTAGTGTTAATGTTAAGGGCAAAATGACATGGGAGGTCAGTGTTAGTTTAGAAATCAATAATTCAAAAAAAAAAAATTAAAAAAGTGCATTTTCATATTTTTATATTTATTGAATTATTTTTAGATTTTTTCAAAAATATTTTATTTTTCAAATATATTTAATGACTGAAATATGAAAAACTTCACTAAATATAATTTAAAAAAAAAAAAAACAACAACAACAACAACAAATAACTCAAAAACTTAAAATTATTTTTAAAAATTCAAAACCAAATAGAGTGAATATTACACCCAAAAAAAAAAATTAAATCCATCATATCATTATAATGGGGTTTTTAGTTGGGAAAATTAGCAATATATTCTCCATATAGTTGGATAGTAGGAGAAATTCACGATAATTTCTCTTCCTAATTAAGATCCTTTAATGTTTTTATGTTTTTCACTCTATACAAAATCAAAGAAATTTCACTGTGATGTAATAGTGAAAACCATAAAATTTCATAAATTTTTTTTTCAGAATTTCATATTACTTATGGATATATGTCTCTGTGTTTTTCTCTATGTTGAAACACAAATTTCTATCTTTGTTTTCTTTGTGTTGAAATACAAAATTTTCTCTGTATTTTCTCTATGTTTAAATATAATTTTTTCTATGTTGAAACAAAATTTTCTCTGTCTATGTATTTTTATTTGTGTTAAAACAAAATTTTCTCCGCATTTCTGTGTTTTTCTCTATATTGAAACACATATGTTTCGGAAAAATTAGTAAAACATTCCTCTCTAACTTTGGTTAATATGAGAGGTCCAATATGTGTTTTTTTATTAACTAAGGTCCCTCGATAAAAATTTTCTGTGTTAGAGTGAAATTTCTCTCTATCGAATTTTCTCTATGTAAATGTTGAGGGGCCCCAACTACTATGAAAATATTATATATTATTTATCTTATAAAATCTTAATATCAATGACTTTAAAAAAAAATCCTATTTTCTGTGTTTTTATATTTTTCACTCTGTACGAAAGTCAAAGAAATTTCACTATGACATAACAATAAATACAGTAAAATTTCATGAATTTTTTTCTTCAGAATTTTTTATTGCTTATGGACCTGTATCACCGTGTTTTTCTCTATATTGAATTATGAAAATTCTTTGTCTCTATTTTTCTCTATGTTGAAATACAAAACTTTCTTTTGTATTTTATCTAGGTTTAAACACAATTTTCTCTATGTTTCTGTGTTTTTCTCTGGATTGAAATAGAATTTTCTCTGTCTCTGTATTTTTTTCTGTGTTGAAACAAAGTTTCCTCTTTATATTTTGTGTTTTTCTCTGTGTTAAAACACAAAATTTTCTCTGTGTTCTTATATTTTTCACTCTATACAAAGTTAGAGAAATTTCACTGTGACAAAACAATAAACATAGTAAAATTTCATGAATTTTAATATTCAGAATTCGTATTACTCATTGATCTTGTTTGAAAGATCGTGTCGA